TACCAAAGTATAAAGCTTAAAAGACAACCTAAGTAACTTTTCAGGAAATATCAAAGAACCACAACTGTAAGCAACAGTTTAGTATTGCACAGTAACGCATGCCAGAGCATTGTTTCCATTAACAAAGTGTAAGTAAACCGAAACGATGTTAAGAATAAAACTTGTCTCAGTTCAGAAACAGTATATTAATAATCAATAAGGTTAAACATCAACTATGCCCCTGGTTCAAATGACATAACTGCAGCCTTGTGATGAGTGTCAGTTTTGGTCTTTTATACTTGCAGTAATAAATTGTATTTTTACTAGTTACAAACATTATTGGAGTTATCCAGTTCGCAGCCTTGGTAAAACAAACCTTAATGGAAGAAAGAGAGAACAACTCATGATCAACGTAACCATCTTCCAGGGCATCTATTTGCATTCTTGTTGCCTTCCGTGATTTGTCCTGCAAAATAACAAGGTACCAAATCAGCAAATAAACGAGTGCGCATCAAAACATCCTACAACAAAGTGGAACACCATAAATATCATCACCCCGAAAAGATGGAAGCGTAATTCTTTCAAAAAGATTACCAGGCATCATTTAATCACTATATTGTGGATACATAATCATTGGTACAATCACAAAATTCGTTCCATTTGCATGGTAACATGCACTAAGACATAAACATAGGGATCAGATTTTTCTTAATAAGGCAATAAACCTTTGCTCGTCTTTTTGCAAGAAGCTTCTTTTCTCTTTTCTTCTTACGCTCCATGGCATATGTGAGCTCCTCCATCTCATTGAGTAATTTATCATCTTCGTTCTCCTCATCCCCTTTATCATCATCTTTAGCAGTGGTAGGCGTTGGAGGAGTAGCCTTTTCTGAAGGAGACAGAGCTTTTCTCAATTGCATCCGCCACCTAAATCAAGGTAATCAATACACATCACATTCATGCACATAAATCTAACATATTTTCATCTGATGAACAATAGGAATTCAAATCAAGCTCCTCTCAAAAGATCAAGGACCCAGTGCACTGATTATAGCTTAACTTTCACTAGAAAACTCAAAAGGGAAAATCTGAAAAGGATTATGTTTCTTACTTCAAAAGATGCTTGAAATCCTGCTTTCGTAGAACTCGCAAATCATCACAAAGAGCTTTGACCTATCAATACAGCAACAAAGTAAGTAATGACAAGTATTAAAGAAGGTAATGATTAGCAATACTATAAAAGATAATCACCTCTTCTGTGGTAGAACTGTGATCCTTAATAGGCAATGAAGCTGGATCCCCAAAGGTTATGGTAGTAACTGAACCTAGGATTTCGAGAGGAGAATCAGACCAAATGAAATCAGCAGCAGTAGACATCTTCTTTGAGATTGTCTCCCCGTCTTCATAACTGAAATTGGCATGTACTTAGAAACAAAGCATAACATAAACCTTAAAACCAGATAGCAGAGGAATCAATTCAATAAAAATGTTCAATCATTATCAACAAAGCAGTAACATTGCTGTATGATAAAGGGAAAGCTTACCCATCACGGTGTCTCTTCTGTTTTGTTACCCTAAGTACATCAATCACCTACATCAAGTATGTGGTAGAAAGAACAATAATGAGCAGAGATACAATCAATAGGAGAACAAAAGTAGTCAGTTAAGAGATTTTGAAACCTAAAATGAAATTAAAAAACCTTCTTTTGTGGTTCTATCGATCCCTGAAACAGATGTTTGAAATCAAGAAGGCGTGGATCAATCTTTGCTGGGGCTTTATACCTTAGCCCCAAAACATAAGTCTCAGCTGATTCTGGGCGACTAGCATGTGGTTTCCAAACTTTAACCTCCTCAAACAGCTGCAGACCAAACCAAACACGCGTGTCAAAGGAAAAAAACAAAACTTCACAGAGAGATATATCCTATGGTTTTGTTTATCACCTGCTTGAGACAATATAGAACGGAACTGTAATCTTGGGACCTAAAAACCTTGGTGACAAAGGTGCCTTTAGGGGCCAAAAACTGGGTAGCCAGCTTAACAGAATCAATAACCAAAGTATTTTGGCTCATTTTTTCTTGAGCCCAAGAACCACCAACATTAGGGGATCCATCATGCAAAACAACATCAAAAGCCATAACCCTGTGCTCTTCCATGACTCGTTTAACCTTGGACTTGCAAACGGATTTGGTTATGTCTTGTTGGAGAGCGATGGCACCTCGTATAGGAGCAATGGGAACAAGATCAAGACCGAGTACAAGGCTGCCGATGGGTGTATGTTGCACGGCCACTTGCATCCAACCACCGGGAGCAGCACAAAGGTCGAGGACAGCATGCGCTGATTTTAGAAATCTAAAATTGTCATCCAGTTGTACTAACTTCCATGATGCTCTGGAACGGTAGCCGTGTTCTTTGGCTAACTTATAGTAGATATCTAATCTATGCTTCCCTTTCACTTTACCCATATTACCTCTTCAATTGAATCCAAATTAAACGCCAAACAGCTGGTGGAGAAGAAGGAAAAGGGAAATATGGAACGTTAAAATGAGTTTTTTTTAATTCTCCCAAACACAAAGACCTAATCCCTAAACCAAAAATAACTAAACCTATAGCTTTTCAAAATAATATATATCTTCTCAAAAAAGCAAAATAAACAAAGGGAGACAGAGTAACAAACAGAATCATCAAAAAATAGAAATCAACAAAGCAATGCACAAACAGAGGCAGAAATCAAATATCCTCCATGGTCTTCTTCACCTAATACATTGAGCTCTTTCTCCAACTCATTTATCAACCGAAGATTCACTACTATTTCCAAAGGTAATTACGATTTAAATGACTAATGAAATACCCTAAATATCTTATTAATCTTGACATGCACCCATCATAACAAACATGCCCTCAATATCTTCTTAATCCATCATAAGAATTACATATAAACATACCTTCAATAACGGTCTCAAATAGCAGTGTAATAGAAAAATAGATAAATCGAGAGCTTTAAATACACAGTCCTTCTCGACAAAGTAAACCAGTAGAACCGAAAATAGAAAATCAAATATAGCAGAGCAATGTAGATGCATATTGAATATAAATCAAAATCTTATGACCCAAAGTAGAAATCAATATCCAGGTTAAACTTGGGTCAGAAGAGGAGAAGAAGACGAGTGAATAGGTTTAAAAAATTTACCTTAGGGTTTGGGTCAGAAGAAAAAAAGACGAAACAATAGGTTTTTAAAGAAAATTAGAAAAAAGGACCTATATATAATTTTAGGATAAACTACGGATTTAATACCTAAACTATTAGTTTTGGTCGATTTTAGTATCTAAACTTTCAATTCAGTTTCAAAATCATACCTAAAAGATTGATTTTTCCCCAAGTTGCAACTTGCAAGGTGAATTACCTAATGAAGCAGAAGACAAACACTTGGAAGTTGGAACAAAGCATAGGAACATCAAACCCAAGAATCCCAAAGGAGCATTAACAAGGTTTTTCGAATCAACTCGAAGAAACAATAAAAAAGCGAGATTTGCTCAAGAAGCAACCAATAGAAACTAAATAATCCAAATCCATAGGCATGTTGGAGAGAACCAAAAAAGAGCTAAACTTTACCATTCCAATAACCCAAGAGAAGTAAGGGCGGCAGCTTTTGGAGATTGGATTCAAAAGAAGATGATATATCAAAAATTCCAAAATTTGAAGTAATTAGTACAAATTACGAAATAAAATAAGAAAAATTAACCTAATCTTCTCACATCCAAGATGATTGAAACCTATGGATCGTATTAGATCTAAGCATCGACAAATCCTTCAAACAGAAACAGTTATATACAGTTTAAATAAATGAAAAGCGGATTGATGATAAATCACTGGACTGCAATGATAAACAAAAATATTAAATAAAAAAAGGAAAAGGATTTACCCAGAGGATCGGAGAATATGATGCGAAAGACTTCGTTTTCCTTCTGTTCTGCTACTGAGAATTCACTTCGGGACAGCAGCCGATATTTATTTTGCACTTCACCGTTTTGACCTCACGTATTTTTAGTAAATTCATCGTTTTGCCCTCAATATTATTTTCAAATTACGGGAAGGTCCCCAAATAATATACTCCTACAATTTAAGTGTAGTTCAAGTCTTTCACAAGTGAAATTTTGTTAAATGAGATAAACTTTACTTTTTAGTCCTTGTGTTTGGTAATTTTTATAATATAATCTTTAAATGTGTTTATATACGTTAGCTTTTTAATCAAACTTTAAACTCAAAAACTAATATTAAAACAAGATCAAACCTCTAATTTTAAGCTTAATTGATCAAGTTCAAAGAATGTTATATTTTTCATATTTAAATATTAAATATATAATTAATGCTCGTACCATCCTAGTTTAAGATTTGCACTATAGAATTATTAGACAGTGAAATTCCAACATCGGTCATTTGTATTATACGTAAAGTTATATATTTAATTCCCATACTTTTATTTAGTCAAAATTAACCTCTAGACTTTTAAATTTTAAAATTTTAGTCAAGACTCAAATGACACGAAAAATTAAATTACAACTCCTAAAAATAACCAAATTAAAGTAAAAAAATTAAACAACTTACATATAGTTTAGAGACTAATAACGAATTAAAATTTTGGTTTTATTATAATTTCATTTTGGCCTAATTCAAACGTAAAACAAACCACCCCAACTCCGAACTTGACCTAAACTCGAAATGATATGAATACGTAATGATCATACCTTGAAAACACGAACCTCAACCCCAAATGACCTAAACTCAACAATTCTAAATTGAAATTGACCCGAATCAAAATGACCCCAAAATATAAAACCCGAATTAACCAAAAACTAGATTGACCTGACCCACCCAAGCCCAAGCACATTTGACGTATAATTCCACTGATGAGAAACCACTCATTTCAAAGCAAAACCTCTCCTATTGTTATATAAGCTATTGTCAGCTATTCTTGCCATGCATTTTAAATCAGTATGAATATAATCCTCCATATCTATTTCTTAGGATGAAGATAAAATGCTATACAAAATCTGCATGTTTTATGCTTACAAGGGGACTTTCTAATCATCAATGCCTTCGAGTCGCTTGATGATTGCTTACCATTGTTTCTTTCCTTTATTCTTTCTCTTGTTTTCGTTACCGCTACCTCCGCCACCGCCCATATTGCTACCGCCAGTCTTCAAACCACTTCCAGGTTTGGCAACTGGGCTCTCTGCAGAAGTGCTACCTATAAAATCGTCAAACATGCCTGCTTGTACTGCGTTCTGTAACCACTCTACGAATAAACAAAAAATCAAATATAGAAGAGAAATGCACAAACAGAGGCATAAATCAAATATCCTCCATGGTCTTCACCTAATACCTTGAGCTCTTTCTCCAACTCATTTATCAACCGAAGATTCACTACTATTTCCAAAGGTAATTACGATTTAAATGACTAATGAAATGCCCTCAATATCTTCTTAATCTTAACATGCACCCATCATAACAAACATGCCCTCAATATCTTCTTAATCCATCATAAGAATTACATATAAACATACCTTCAATAACGGTCTCAAATAGCAGTGTAATAGAAAAATAGATAAATCGAGAGCTTTAAATACACAGTCCTTCTCGACAAAGTAAACCAGTAGGATCGAAAGTAGAAAATCAAATATAGCAGATCAATGTAGATGCATATTGAATATAAATCAAAATCTTATGACCCAAAGTAGAAATCAATATTCAGGTTAAGCTTGGGTCAGAAGAGGAGAAGAAGACGAGTGAATAGGTTTAAAAAAATTACCTTAGGTTTGGGTCAGAAGAGAAAAAGACGAGACAATAGGTTTTTAAAGAAAATTTGAAAAAAATGCCTATATATAATTTTAGGATAAACTACGGATTTAGTACCTAAACTATTAGTTTTAGTCAATTTAAGTATCTAAACTTTCAATTTAGTTTCAAAATCATACCTAAAAGTTTTATTTTTGTTTCATTTTAGTACCCTCCGTTAAAAAAAATTTGGTACCAAAACTTTCAAATCAGTCGGATTATCATACTTTTAGAATCCAAATTTTATGTTTTTCTTTCTTATTTTATTTCACAACTTCTAAATTTTTTTACTCCACAAAATGCTTCTTTTATCTCATAATTTTAATGATAAAACTGAACTACTTCAATATTTAAACGTTATTATGCTTCATTTAAAATCTATATGATTATAAATTTCACTTATAAATTCGATGAAATTTTTTCAATATTTATCTCAATTTAAAATTTAGAAAGTTCAATAACACAATATTTTAATCGACGTCAGTATAAACATAGAACCAAACAAATTGATTCAAGAGTTCACCGATCTAAAAAATATAAACGCGTGAATAGTTGAAAACCATGAATGAAACACCAAAAAAGATGATGAAGCATCAAAATGAAGGGCATACATACCAGTTTTGTAGTTAGGAATAGTTGAAAACCCTTGGAGAGGATGGGAGGCGAGATGATGGGATCGTAGCCTAGAAAATGGAAAAGATGAAAGGTAGATGAAAATGAAGGTTTCAAATTCGTTTATTTGCAAACCTTTGGAGAGGAGGGGAGGCGAAATGAAGGTAGATGCGGCGCACAAAGAGAAGAACTAGCCAAGTGAAAACAAAACGCGTGAAAGGCTAGGGTTTTTGTGCTCTCCTAAAAGTTTTGGTCTAATTAATATACGAGCCCTTGTATTCTCACATATTTTCATATATTATCCCTTTTTTTCCTTTCTTTCAATTTGGTCACTAAATGTTTCTTTACTATTTTTGATTGTGGCTCACTGTTTTGTTTTAGTACAATTTAGTCATCATTTTATGCTATTATGTTTTATTTGATAATATATTTTTGTTGTTATATTTTATTTGAAAATGCCATTTAATTATATATATATATATATATATATATATTATGAGAAAAAATAAATTTTTTGAACATTTTGTTTTTTATAATAATAATTATATTTTATCATTATAATTAAATATATGGCTGCAAACATAATTTTTTACAAAAAAACTTAAATTTTTTATTAATTTAAAAAATGAAAAAAATTTGTGATACTTTTTCTATAACAATAACTATTACATATAGTTACAAAACTTGTCACTATATAACATTTTTGCACCAAAAAATAGGGAGAAATATTTCTAATAGTATAAGTTTTCATAATGATTAAAATATACAATAAAAAAATAATTAATTACAAAAAACTTAAATTTTATTAATTACAATATATTTTATTACTATATAACTTTTTTGACACTAAAAATAGAGAGAAATGGTTCTGATAGTATAATTTTTTATAATGATTAAAATATATATAAGTATAAAAATAATTAATTACAAAAAACTTGAATTTTATTTTTTGATGTGATAATTTTTTCCTATAACAATAACTATAAATTATAATTATAAAAATTGTCAATATAACTTTTGAAACAAAAAAGTGGAGAAAAATAATTATGACAATATATGCTATCACTATAACTAAAATTTACAACTACAAATATAATTTGTCACAAAAACGTGAATATCATTATTTTTGTGGTAATATGTTTTTATAATAATTATTAATAGTTATTTTTGTGGCTTTATTTAGGGCTCCCCTCCTCGACTAATCCCATCACTCTAGTTAAATGGGAAGACCTATGTCAACCTCTCCATACAGGCGGTCAGGGCCTTCGTCGAATAAATTTTCAGAACATTGCTATCCTCTTCAAAATTTGCAATGATCTCATTCTCTCCCCCTCGGTTTTCTGGATCTTCCTCATGCGAGAGAAATATAAGATCACTGAACTATGCCCATTTTTGATCTACCGTTCCACTTGTTCTAATCCGTGGCGTAGTTTGGCAAACGTATAGCGTTCTTTCTACACCAATTTGGCTTGGTCAGTGGGTGACGGGCGCTCTATTAATATTTGAACTAATAATTGGGTTCCCCCGATTGGCTCACTCCTCAACGTTGCAATGACTAACTTTTCGGTGGATGTTTCCTTAACTGTTTCTGATGTGTCTTCAGATGGTTGCTGGGATTGGGATCTTTTGAACACTCTCTTGGACCCGACAACTATTCATCATATGAGAAATATTATTGCTCCATCTTTTGCGGTTGGTTAGGATATTTTTTATTGGTCGGTTTCACCAAAGAGGATTTTCACTGTTTCAAGCCCTTATAAATCCTTATGCTCCTCTTCCTGGGCCGCTACGAATCCTTGTTAGTATGTAATTTGGAACGAATTAGGAGTTTTCTATGGCTCGCCATCAGAAATAGAGTGCTCACCAACTCTAACCGATACTGACGAGGTCTGGGAAATGATTCCTCTTGCTGTTTGTGTCGAGTCGAGAATGAAACTTTGCACCATATCCTTCGAGATTGCATCACAGCTCGGAGCAATTGGACGAGACTCCTCCAAGCTCACCCCTTTCCCTCTTTCTTTGATTTCGATCGTGAAGCTTGGCTTATGGAAAATATTAGTTATTCTTCACGCTGTGTCACATCCAATGGCCCTTGGTGCATTTTTTCGCCTCCTTGGTCTGGCAGATTTGGAAGGCTCGAAATCTTCTCGTTTTTCAAGATGTCTCTCTCCTTGTCCGGAAGCTATACTTCAAGTCAGCATATCCTGGAGCAAACTTTACGATGATTGTGCATCCATTCGGAGTTCACACAGACTGCAAACCTCTTCACATGTTCAATGGTGCCCGCCGGATTTGGGGTGGGTCGCTCTTAATAATGATGGGGTTGTGTCACCCCAAATTGGTTTAAGTTCGATTAGGGGTTCGATGACCTTCCCTCAAATGCAACTGTCGAAGTCGGATGTATTGGATCCCATTCAAGAAATAAAAAAGAAAAAGAAAAAGAAAAAAAGAATAATAATATGTGGTCCCATACCCTTTCATGTGAACCTTCATTTCTTTTCACTTTAATTTCGGTATGATGTATAATAGTTATTACTATTATTATTTATATTTAAAAATAATAATATCCTTTAATTAACTACTGAATTAATTGTGTCATATGTCCCCAAAATATTATTCTTATTTTAAATTGGTTCCTAAACTTTTAAATAATTTAATCCATCCTTAAACTATGACTCCAATCTAAATTAGTCCTTAAACATTTGAATATTTTAATTTCATTACTACACTATGACCCCCTTTTTAAATTAGTCCCTAAACTTTTGAATATTCAAATTTCATCCCTAAATCCATACATATATGTGATTATTTTCAACCACAATTTAATCTAAATTTTTTAACATATAATAATATAACTTGGCCTAACGATTTTACTAACAAAGGACATGATTAGTGAATATATATATAGTTTTAGATGAAATTGGAATGTTCAAAAAGTTTGGGGACCAATTTAGAATGAAGGTCATAGTTTGGGATGAAAATGAAATGTTTAAAAATTTAAGAACTAATTTCAAATGATAATCATAATTTAGAGGTGAAATTAAAACATTTAAAAATTTAGAGATTAATTTAAAATAAGAATCATGCTTTGAAGACATATGATGCAATTAATTCTTTTTCAATCTATTGATTATAGTTTTAATTTATGAAATTAACAAATATACCTCAACATCTGTGACATCAGTTCCATCAAAGAGAATGGCATGAATTATTCTCATAACCTAAAAAGCAAACAAAAACAATACAAACCATGTTAACGAAAAAAATCCCAAACTCTTTTAAGAATATGTTAACGAAAACAAATGAAAATTAACATGCATGCATACATGTAGCAAACCATGAATGAAACACCAAAAAAGATGATGAAGCATCAAAATGAATGGCAGACATACCAGTTTTGTAGTTAGGAATAGTTGAAAACCTTTGGAGAGAAGGAGAGGCGAAATGATGGGATCGTAGCATAGAAAATGGAGAAGATGAAAGGTAGATGAAAATGAAGGTTTCAAATTCATTTATTTGCAAACAGGGAAGGCGAAATGAAGGTAGATGCGGCACACAAAGAGGAGAACTGGCCAAGTGAAAACAAAACGCGTGAAAGGCTAGGGTTTTTGTGTTCTCCTAAAAGTTTTGGTCTAATTAATATACTGGTCCTTGTATTCTCACGTATTTTCATATGTTGTCCCTTGTTTTTTCTTTCTTTTAATTTGGTCACTGAATGTTTCTTTACTATTTCTGATCGTGGCTCACTGTTTTATTTTAGTACAATTTAGTCATC